ATTATTTTTATTTAGTGGATCGTTCATTGTACTAAATATTCGATAAATAATGTATAACTTAAACTTGTGTTTGGTGTAAAACTGTACAAAATTTTGTTTACAATAATATCCTTGGACTTTTGCAGGGCTATTGAATTCATATAACTCAATATAAATAGCAGCCAAACTATACTGGTATTATTTATACGAAGCTAAAATAGCAACAAAACTTCATACAAATCAATACTGATTTGTATACCAGGATTATTTACCTCAATACTGGCAACCAGATGTCCTAAAAGGCTAAGTCATAGTCAATTGGGTTTAACCTAAAGGTTCGATGCACAGCTAAGGAACAAAAAGGATGCAACATCGAGTCACTCGGTTCTTACAAAGAGGCTAAAGTGATGGTAAAAATCATAAACGTTGTTTGGTCATTACTTCAAGCCTATATGTACTTCCAAGACAGGCGGCAGCGGAACTTAAAACCTTAAACAAGGAACAAGTCTAACTGGAACATTTGGCATCAGATCATCTTCTATAAGATATACTGAGTATCTTCTGTACTGTCATTAAGGCACTCACATATACCTTTGCCATTTATTCCTTCTGTGCTTGAACTGAACTTTCACATCAATCAAATGACAGATATACCCATTTTTTTCATTTGATTAGTACTGATAGACTACTAGAATTACCAGTTAAGGCCAGTCACTTATTCTTATCTGATCCAAGTCATTCGTCTTTTCGGTAGTTCTGAGACACCAGTTGCATCCAGCTTCAAAGTTCAGTAAGAGAGAATTGCATGACACAATTAAAAAGATAAGTTGACCTGCAAGGTTCAACCTGTCTTCCCACCAAAATGGAAAAGAGAGAAAAAGACCAAAAAAAGAAGACATGGAATTAAAAACCGAAAACATTTTAAACCGAAAACGAATGTGGTTGCATCATTTCTCACATGCAATTCATCCAAATGTTCAAATTTCCAAACAAAAGTAATAATTTCAATCCAGAGTTTTATTTTGGTCATAGATTCTTTTGGTTGCTGTACGGAGAAGTTCAACAGAAGTAAAATGAATCAAACAAACATTTAAGACTACACAATTTTCCATGATTTTGAAAGAAATCATGTACTGGCACAAATTAGCAACTTATCTAGTATCAGAGCATTGTCAAGACACCATCCTCGTATAAGGAAAATTAAGATACTCTGGAGTGATGGGCAGTCTGCAATTATCAATAGCCTGAGGTGTTCAAAAGAAAAAGGAACGAACCTCTTCTGGTGTAATCGTGTACATCAAATCCTCGATTCTTCGAGCAAATTGAAAGAGTCGCTCAAATTGCTGGGAGAAAGCACAAGTTCTAAGGTATCTCATCAGAGAGAGTAAATAAAGTAATAAGAATGCAAAAGAATAGTTAGGAAATATTACACAACCATGAAGCATGAAATAGGATAACTTACATAGTAGATAATTGTGTTGATGTGGCGTGTGCAAGCCTGTTCATAAGATTCACTTGCTTGGTGATAGAATTTTGCTAAGGTTGGCACGACATTAGCCAAGTCATACAGACTGCACAACTGTTTCAATCAGCACTAGGAGCAGCTTTTGTGATACAATAAAAAATATATCTGAACCCAAAACTGAACAATACCTATTTTGAAATGATGCATAGTTTTCTAAAAGCATGATATCTTGATATTTCAGGTCTGTTTGAGCAATTTTGTCCAAAGTAACAAACATTATAGTGACCTGCCAAGTATTGAACAATCGAGCCACAAAGTACAACATACATAAGAGAACATATATAACTAACCACCAAAAATTAAGAAATTAAACTCACTGCACCTTGAAAGAAAAAAGAGTTCTGCAAGTATTTCCCAATTCACACTTCAGCTTACTTTTATTTTCTATTATTGTATATTTAAACAGTATAAATTACTGTATTACCTATCACAATACTCTCATCCGGAAAAAAATGGTTAAACAAGAGAACCAGTAACATATATTATGTCATTCTAACATTTTCAACTGTTCATTTCACATCTTAATGGTCGTTGTAATGCATCAAGAAAACAAGTGCAAGACAGAAGCACTCACAAACTTTGTGTATGCCTGATCAACCAAATCCCTTGATTGTCCTTGAATGTACTGCTCCATACGGGTTGCAAGGGTGGCAAATCTAGATGAGAAATCATTCACCCAATGAAATGATTGACAAGTTAGGCCGAAATAAATACGAGAAGCATTCTGAGACAAAATAAGTACAAATTCTGATTTTGGGGCTGAATTACTGAAAGGCTTACTGCCTGTAGTTGTAAATAAGGTTATTCAAAGAGTCATTGAAGGGATTTTCACAAGGCTCAGACCTACAATAAGCTCACAGCATAAAAGCAATAATGGAGCTAATCAACTGTAACAAAGAGGTAACAGCGACAAGGCAGAAAACCACATCTTGTAGATACTAATGAAAATTTCAAGCACTATTCAATTGGGGGAATAAAAATATAAAATGGTATACTCTTGCTCCTATGTGATAAAGAGAAATCAGCAGAAAATAATAGAATAACACAGGCAGGCAAAACTTCCATTCAAATTTGGAGGAACTATTTCCATGTATACGTAAAAGAGCCGTAGAAAATCAATCAACTATTGATTTCCATACTGGGGAGGGGAAGAAATAATATCTTCATGAAAAAACTTTACAATATACCATTCATAGTGAGACTAATCTCCCAATGAAGTAAATACGGGAAATGGGTTTATAATGTAGCATACTAGCATATCTAAACCTGTCGCACTAATTAGATACACTAGAAACGGGAGGACAGATAAAAGTAGAAAGCTCTTAGTTTAGCGGCTGAAGTTTAATTTGACAATCTCGACTTACTTCCATTAACAATAACTATGCACTTCCAGCTCTATCTACATACAAACATCATTTGAACCATTATGACAGTAAATCTAATCCAAAGAACTATGGAAGTATAAAAACACATAACATGAAACTCAGTTTACCTTGGTATGAATGATAAAACTCCCAACTGTCTAACATTTCGCTCATTTCTTTCAATTTGATGGCATGTCTCCTCCACAAACTGCAAAGTTTAGGGAAAACTGAGAAAATTTCATCCCTTATGAACTGCAAAATATAGATGGTTATGAGGGATACAGTAGCTCACACGGCTGAACTGCATTGAAATTCTTGATTCCAAGTCATCAAGCAAGATACGCACAAACCCTGCTGCATCAGCCTTCTGACCAGGAATATAACGCTCTGTGATTCCATGCATTGATATGCAGCACATAGGATCAATCTTGCCTGCCCAATCAACCACAGCAAAGAAGTCTTCCTGAAGCACATAAACAGGTAAAGATAATATTATCAGTGATATTCTTTTTATAGTTTTGTTTCGTCAGAAAAATTTGAAAGATCTTTAGTTAATTGAAACGACAATCCAATCAACAATTATGCCCATGAAAAAGAACCACGCTATTGTGGCAATCATAAATTTCAAACCACAATGTATGAGAAAATAAGAGAGGGGGCTGAAAAAAATACGAGTACCAAAAGAACATATAAAACTGACAAAATAGTCCAGTGCTAATTCATCGTGACAAGGACAAAACATTATGTTAGACAATGCAACAAAAGATCAGCGGACTTGGTTTACTCAAGGGCCTGCTTCTCTGTGGCACATAAGGAAGCAGTGGTACAGCATAGAGGTAAGATCAGGTACAAAGGCATGGAATTAATAGTAACATAGATATAATCCACCCGATAGTTTATCAACACCACAGTAATGAGAAGATACAGATATCATAGAATGAATACCGGATGAATAGTAGAACTAAACACAGACAAGACTCTGATGTAGTCTTTATTCAGCATCCAGATTAAGTGAAACTTGAGAGGTCTTCCTCACTCTATTAACCTGACCTACTGTGTCATTTTCTCTTTACTATTTCAATAGCACTGATGTTTGAGTATACAAAGAATCGGATATAGTGTATATTAAGCGTCTCAAAACTCAAACAAATTATGCACTAAGGAATGTCCTCTTTGCACCAAACAGGAAAAATTAAACAAGAAAGAATAATCGGCATTAACAAAAACTATCGTTATTAGAAAACAAGACTATTGTAAGGGAAAACTGTAACATTACTTGGATTCCATCAAGTAAATCATGTAGCGATTCATTTAGTGCCTCTATATCTGCGGAATTCTGTCCTGCAAAATAGCAAGATGGTGGTCCTTGATAAATTCCAAGCAGGACAAGACAAGAGCAGAAACCACGAAAAATTACCAGATTTATTGTCATTCTCATCTATATCCATGATGCATAAATCATCATCCTTATCATCTCCAGCTTTGTTTCCATTGGCAACACCTTCTGGTGGAAGCAGTGTTGGAACTTCAAAGCACATAAAGTGTGCAAAGAAAGAACTCTGGGATTTGGAAATTTAGAAAAAAAAATGATTGATACACTTTGGGTAGAGAAAGCAACAGAGACTTTCATACGCATATATACAAGGAAAAAAAGAACTAGACGAAAACCTCATCTACAAGGAGTGGGATGAATATTGTGAGCATTTTAGCATATGCCTCAGAGGCTGCAGACGTGTCTGCATTATTCACGCTCTGATTCAAACCTGTCAAACCTTCAAACCATACAATAGGATTTTTGGATGCCTTTGTACTGGAACGAAGCTCATTTGCAAACTCACGAGCCTGCAAAAAATAGCAAACATAAGAATTGTTAGAATAGTAATAGGTATATACAATCCTACTTAGAATATAATTAGTAATAGTGATAGGAATAGTATATAGTGTCCTACTTAGAATAGGATTGTATTGTAGTGTCCTAGGTTGAAAAGGAGTCTATTGTAGTGTCCTAGATATATTCAGTAATAATGGTTAGTGGCGACGATTCAATAATATTTTTTTTCCAATATTTCCACATGGTATCAGAGTTTCTACGATACTGGTAGAAAATCAAAGAGCTTTCATAGCCAGCGGTTGGCTGTTACAAGTATATGTTGCCCGTCTGGTCAATGATTATGTTAGCAAAAGTTGGGTCACCCTGTATCTTTTCAGTAGTGAGTACTTTTTCATATTTTATTTATGTAGCACCATGGCAACATTTGGATCCATAAGAGTGTCAATGGATCTACATCCCACCATTCCTCTCTCCTCAAGAATGTCTAAGACGTACTTGCATTTGCATTGAGAAATAACAATACCTAATCAAGACTGAGCAACCTCAATACCTAGAAAATAACCATGGTCATTAATTTGGAAACGCTTAAAGAGATGTTGTTTCAAATTAGTGATACCATCTTTGATTATTGCCAGTGATAACAATATCAACATACACAACCAAAACAATACACTTATTTGCCGCAGATTGACGATAAAACACAGAATGATCAGCTCCACTACGAGTCATGCCGAGCTCTTAAATTATTGTGCTAAATTTTCCAAATTAGTATCAAGGAGATTGTTTCAGGCCATAGAGTGACTTACACAATTGACATACAAGGTTACTAGACTCCTCCCCGAGCAATAAAACCTGGTGGTTGCTCCATATAGACTTCTTAACTAAGATCACCATGTAGAAATACATTTTTATTCTCCAACTGATGAAGAGGACAATGACAAACAACAATTATAGAAAAAAAATATGGACGAATGTTATTTTAGCTACGGGAGCGAAATTATCACTATATTTGAGTCCAAATATCTGAGTATACCCTTTGGCAACAAGGCGAACCTTAAGTCGATCAACCTAACCATCTGGACCAATTTTGACTGCATAAACCCAACGACAACAAATAGTAAATTTAAGATTTACCTGTAAGAAGGGAGACAAGCTCCAAAGTACCACTCATATGTAAAGCCGATATCTCATCAATCATAGCCTGTCTCCATCCGGAATGAGAAAGTGTTTCACATGTACCTTTAGGAATGGAAATAGAGGACAAAGATGATACAAAGGCATAATGGGGTGATGAAAACTCAAGAAAGTATATAATGCGGGTTAGCATTTCTAGTGGATCGTATACCTTTATGAAATGAAATCAGTTGACTAGTAGGAGGAAAGTCCGCAGTAGGAGCAGAGTCTAGTGCATGAGATGAATCATTTGAAACTAGCGTTGGGTGGACGATGCTGATAATTTAGGAGTGGTGGCACTACCACTAGAGATGTAGAAGTGACCGTAAATTTTGCAAAAGTTGGTATAGGTTTGGGTAAGAGCTCAAAGACATCAAAATGATCACAAGATGTATAATAAGGTTTGAGATTTAAAGAATGTGACATCAGCGAACATAAGGTATCGACGAAGATTAGGTGAATAGCAATGTACCCTTTTTTGAACTTGCTAGCAACCATTAACCAAGAAAGACACATTTGAGACCACGAGGAGCTAACTTATCTTTACCGGGAGCTAAGCCAAACACACGAGTGGAATTGAGTATAGACGTAAGTGAGGAAACGGTATGGAATGTGGAACCTGATTCTAATGAAAGGGTTGCATCACCATAAAAACGCAGCGGAACATGAGATTCAATGAGGAGAGTGCAAGCGGCTCAATCAGATACCTATTCTTTCTTTCTGATACACCATTTTGCAGAGGAGTGTACAGATAAGATGTTTAGTGAAAAATGCCTTAGTGAGTCATAAAAATTCCAAGGCATTATCACTATGAAAAGTACGAATAGAAACACCAAACTAACTTTGTATTTGAGCAAAGGAACTTTTGAATATAAAAGAAAAACTCAGAAGGATCTTTCATTAAGAAAACCAAAGTGCAGCTTGAATAGTCATCAATGAGAATAACGAAATAACAAAACCCTAACAGTGGACTAACTCTACTAGGACCCCAAAGATCATAATGAACTAATGAAAAAATAGAATATGAACAACCCTCGGTACTAATGTAAAATGTAGCACTAATGTGTTTCCCAAGTTTACACGATTCACAATCTGATATGTTCGTTTGTCTATGGTTTGAGATGCCCGAATAGAGGAGTCAATGGTAGGTGATGAAACTACTTGGTGATTGGGAGGTATGGCTAGATGAAGTAGACGAGAGAATAATTCATCAACGGTTGGTATTGAAGGACTAGCTAAAATCTGAGCACGCACTAAATCATGGTAAGGAGGAAGTCCAACAAGTGTAAGAACTAGAAACAATGTTTGTTTATGCTCTTGTTGTTTGTCCACATTCGTAGTAACTAGCATCAACGTTTCGAATGCCTCCATGCCAAACTGAATAACATGTCTGGGATGAGCTAACCAAAAGCATTAACTTGGAATCGATAGATCGTCATAGGAGACATAATTGAGCATCAACATCTCCCATTGTGCTTTGGCTCTATCATCTGTTTCACTAGCCTTTGCCTTTTCATCTACCACAAAAGCTTTGTTGGTTAAGTGATCATGGATGCCTTGACCTTGCACAACAACTTTACCGAAGAAAGCCAAGCTAAATAGTTTGAGCTTCACATTAATAGTTCTGATGTGATCATAGCACTTGAACTTCCTATATTTTTGGAGCCCAAAAATATCAATCCCGAACGACATATTGTGGAATTTGAAAGGATTTGATCGCCAGAAAATCGACCATAATCAAGAAATATGTATACGGTAAGCCTCAAAATTTAGAGTTGATCCCACTGGAAAAAAAAAGAAATTGCTTGGAAATTGTTTTTGAAAAACACAAGCACAAAATTTTTATTCACACAACTTAGGTCACCGGAAAATTGGACACTGACGGCTTATTTAATTTTCTCACCATTGCTCTGATACCATGTGAGAGATATTAGAGAAGAATATGATTGAATTGTGTGTCTACATTATTACACTGAGACCCTCTTCATAGACACTACATTAAACTCCTTTTCCAACTAGGATTCCTATTCTAAGTAGGATTGTATATACTTATTCCAATTCTAATAGATACAACTTGTAATGGTCCTAGAACAGACAGGGAAAATATGAGAAAACCTTTTTCATATGTGAATTAAGATTTACTCCTACAGTGGTTCGAGCTAAAAGTGAAACAAGGTTTTACGGCACACTATAAAGTCTTATTCCTATGCATGAACTAAATAAAATGCAAATATTTGTTTCAGGTTTCACTAGACAATAAACCTATGCCAAGCCCTGAATCAGCACCCTACATATAGTAAGTTTCAGGAATTTACCCCAAGAGTTATGTGGTCCAATTATCTTTAGTTCCTTGAGTGAATTTTCTAGCATAAAAGGCATTACCAAATTCATTCATTTACACTCGAACTACAAGTTGCTTGGCAGCAAAGATCTCTTGTTCTTGAAAAGAACTATCACACTCCTAGATCATGAAGGAATGTCTTTGAACTGACAATATTGCAGTACCCTTGTTCTTCTTTGTATAATTTCTCAGTTCCCTTACATCTGATTTACATTCTTCTTCTTTCCAGTGCTGCTACTCCAATTTAATACCTTTGTTGCCTTTCCTCTCTCTGTGTGTCTCCACAGCTACCCTTTACAGCTTGTTATTGTTCAAACTGAACAGCTTGCTCTCTGAATTCTTTCTAAGATGCTACTGCAATGGTCTTAATGATTCGCCCAGCTAAACGTCCCAACAAAATGTGCTTCTTAAAGCAGACAAGTTCATCTTAAAAGCAGGTTCAACCAGCAATTCTTTGATGGGAAAGCTGCTATAGACAAACAGGTGATACAAGCGTTTGAGAGTTTGGAGATGAAGAAAACAGATATCTACCAGCTTAAAAGTGCAAATAATGGCCAGTGAACATAATAGGGATTTAAGTAACCTACTCAACGTAAAGAAGCAAAACAAGAAATAAAAGCACAATAAGAGAACTAAAAGACAAATTAAGATAATAGCTTTCTGACCTCCCGGCGCAAAAGCAAGTTGAGGGAGGTACAATAAGCTTTTCTTAAAGGGCCCAAGCAATTTTTGTCAAGACTCTGCAAATGCAAAGGATTGAGAGAAAGACACCAGACAGTATTAAACAATGCTAAAACTCGACAAGTTGAATCAATCTGACCTTCAAATGCTGCAACAGACGAGCATATGTCCGGCACTTGTATCGGAGATCAGCATGGTCAGGCCTTTTCAATTGCCCACGCTGTTTAATTTATATTATTAGCAGTCTTTAAATAACTATTTTTGGGAAACTCACGACAATTAGTTCAAGTAAAACTGATCTATATACCTGAGAAAAATAACTCTTATCACTCATCATAAAATCCACCAAACTGGAAAAATAGTTTCTCAAGAATTCAGATGCTCTTCGAACAAACATCGTTTTCAACTTGTCAACTTCTGCTCGTTTTTCTTTCACCTGTAAAAGATTCAGGGATTTCACAGCTAAAAGTTTCTGCATCTTTTACAAGTAATGTATTGATTTTGATATAAGTAACTTTCTGTGTTCAAATGCAGAGATGACGCAATGCGGCCAATGCCTATCCGACGAGTGCTAGAATAGCACAGACAGGACAACTTGGTTTCACTTCATTCAGTAAGAAGCACATAATTTAAAGATAGGAAAGTTTGATTTCTACTTTTTCTTATCCACTTTCAGTATAGAACATTGGCCCATAAAAAACAAGCAGGAACTTGAATCCAGTAATATCTAGACGCTATGACTCTGTATTTTGCAATAACTCAATCATTCTTATACCAGGCCAGGTCCAACTGTGGTTTTCCCAATAATTCAAAACAATGTATTTACTCAAACCACTTCATAGGAACCAGTCATCCAAGCCCTGAATGAGCAAATTTTTACTTAAGTTAACATATGCATCCATACCTACATTAACCTTATCTCTGTACTTTATTTTGAAGCACAATAACAAAAATGAAGCAAAAAGAAAAGGACAGAAAGGAATAAGCAAGTGAACATACAGCTCTCATGTTTGAGTAGCTAGGATCCAATTTAGGTGATTCAAGACCATGTAGAGCATTAGTTAGCCACTCACATGCCTCAATGTTCTGAGGCATTCTTGCCTCTTCAAATGAACCATCCGTTAAACACGTTACATACTACAAAACCAAATATCAAGATGTGAAGAAAATTAAAATTATAAGATGTCACCATGACCTAGCTCCAAGAAAGATAGAGAAACACCTCAGAAGGGATACGGAGTCTTTCAAGAAGCCTATCAAGTTCCTCAATCAATGCCTTGTTGTTTACTGATTGCATTTCCAGCTTGTTGTTGCGGGTTTCTATCTGCAAATTGTGAAAGAACCAGTATTGCATTAGGAAAAGAGGTCTACATGCATATAGAACTTACTTCCTCCATCCCAATTATATTGTACCGTTTGACTTGGCACAAACTCTAAGAAAAAAAGGAAGACTTTTGAATGTGGTCTAAAGCTGTTGAAGTTTGCTTTCAGCCTGCAGCAGGTTTTAGCATAATAAATCAGTTAGATTTGGGATGAATTTGAATTTTAAATTTCCATTAGGTTGTTTTAGTTGTTGAGATTATTAGTGTTTCCAATTTTTGTTATGCAGATTTTCTGTTGATTATATTTTCAAATGGTCTATTTAAAGCTCTCTGTGCTTAATAAAATTATTGAACGTTTCAACCCTTATTTGTTGCACCATCTTTTCAAAAAGTGCCAACTGTGGTATTGAGTCTCACTGATTTTATGGAATATGTGAGTTCTTAGAAAGAGCTATTTTCAACCCATTTTGAACCCGTCGGAGATATTTTTAGCCTGTCGAGGCTATTTTCAACACTTTTTTTTTGAGATAGAGTAACTTTGTATTCACATATACAATTCATCATTCAATGAATGATGAATTAGAAACTTACAATCCACTGAGTGGTGGGCACACCCCCATTTGGGTACATTTACAAGTTTCCTATGAAATCTACCTAAAATACTGCCTTCCCTATGAACTCTTGTTTACACAAGAAAAATAGCAGGCTTATACACTTCATCCTTATCTTCAGTAAGTTGACTCTCTGATCTTCAAAGCACCTATCATTCCTTTCTCTCCTTAAGTTCCACCATATACTCCTTTCTCTCCTTAAGTTCCACCATATACAAGCTGATATTGTCTTCCACCAATCTTCATATCTCTCTCTGTTGCCAATTCCTGACCATTGATTCATCAACTCCAAGGTTGTCTTAGGCATCACCCAGCTAACTCCTAAAAAGCACAAGAAATTATGGCATAGGCTTGTGGCAGTGTTGCAATGCATAAACAAATTACTTTTGACTTATGTTTCCCACTCACACATAAAACATCTAGAACATACCTGCCATCCACTTCTCTGCAGTGCCTCATGTGTGAGGCGGGCTTTCCTGCACACTAGCCATGAGAAACAAGTCACCTTTAGTGGACTTCTACCTTCCATGATTTCCTTCCAAGGCCCTGTGTCTGTTGCCATTTGTTTGGAATCGATATTCCAGTAACATGACTTGACGATGAAGTGGCTTTGCTATGTAGTTTCCAGATTGGCTTCTCTGGGCTCATAGAAATACCAGGGCAAGTGTTTAACGTTCCCAGAAGGCTTGCTACTCGTCTGATTTCCCAGCCATTTATTGCTCTCCTGAAGAGTAGGTTTCATCCCTGCTGGCTCCACACTTGAAGAGTATCATTTTTCTACAAGCTCAAAGAGTATAATTGGGGGAATAAGTTTCTCAAGCTGCTCTCCCCTACCAAAACTTCATTTCAGAAAGCATTTTTCAGACCATTACCAACACCAATGGAGATGTTGTTGATAAAGTTAGGCCAAAGTCTCCTGATCCAGACACTACGACCAAATGTGCTCATGACTTCTTCAGCTATTCAGTAGCTAAGTAAGCCATACTTTCCTGCTATGTGCCTTCTCCATAAGGCCCCATCTTCTGTGCAGAATCTCCATAACCACTTTTATAGAAGACAATTGTTCTCTTTGCTGAGGTTCTTCAGTCCAAGACCCCCTTTATCTCAAGGGTAAAAATATCCCATTTTTTTACCATATTGTAGCCTCTCTTCTGCTTATTCCCTTTCCATAGGAACGGTCTTCTCAATCTATTGATTCTTTTTTCTATGCTTTTAGGAATAGGAAATAGGCTCATCGTGTATGTAAAGATGGATCAGAAGCTACTCTTCGAATTTGAAATAAGGTTGTCTCTGTTCCCACTTCCCAGTCTCCACATTCAAGAATGATACATGGATCAGAAGCTACTCTTGGAAGGATTCTCAGTCTGATGCTTTTGAAGTTCTCCTCCCATTCCATAAAATACAAAAAACTGTCCAACCTAGCAGCACTTTGGTGAGTAATCCCCCTAAAACAAGTTTAACTCCTACCCATCGAAGTAGGATCTTTAAGTTCTAGCTCCTCTATCCAACTAGAATATGCCTAAACAAAGTCGCCCCCCCCCCCACTCACCCCACCCCCCACCCGTGACCCAGTGATCGTCACATATTGACTTTATAGCTGGTGGTCCTCAACCACCGGAATCTTTCCCTATCCTTCATTTCTTTGAAAGCCTTTTTTTTCACCATGGGAAATCATACTTACTTTAGACTAGGTGGGATATCTTTTGACATTACAGAGACTAAAATGTATTCTGATACATGGTTTGAATGGGTGGAAAACTCTAGGCACTACCCCAGGAGGATGACTTTGAGCAAAGGGGCTCTGGGTTGGCTATGCAGAAGGTTGCTAGAAGCATCAGAAGTCAGGGGTAAAATGTTCAAGACATGGAGAGGCAGAAATGTTTCAACTAATATCTTGTTCTCTTTGAAGTTCAACAAGTTTGGTCATTTTTTGTCCATCATTACGATCAATGGCCAAATGAGGTCTATTATTATTATCCCAGAAAACAAGGACAATGAGGGGTGGTTGGGACTTGTCAGCCGGACTGAAAGCTTCATTAATAGGAGGTCTTCAATGCAAGCTGGTACTCCAGCAGTAGGGGAGATAAATCATCCTTCAAAGAGGGGAGAAGACAGCTATAAGGATGCTCTGTACAAGAACAGATGGATGGTGCAGGAACCAACTATCTCCAAGGTACAAGGCATTATGGCAGCTTCTTCACACCAAGATGGAAAAGATCTTTTACAGAGATGCCTAGTAGGAAGCTTTCCAGATTGCAACGAGATCCCAACAAGAAATGATGTGAGAAGGTGGATCCAACAAACATGGAAAGGAGTTCACAATATTCAGGTTTTCGACAAGAATGGCATTCAAC